TGAATAAATAGACTGGAAGGTGGATAGAAATCTGGCTAAATCGTTAGGCTCAATGGGTGTGATCAACGGCTCAGTGTCTGATTGGTGATTGTTTTCAAGCAGAGTGTCCCAAGACTTGGTTCTGGGGCCAGATTTGTTCAACATCTTTATTAATGACCTGGATGGGGGGATGGATTGCACCCTCAAGATGTTTGCAGATGATACTAAGGGTACATCTAAACTGCAGGGGTTTTCTGGGATACCTCAGGTATCCCGGAAAAACTGCGCCGCATCCAGGGAATGGGTTTGCTCTTCTGCTTTTTTTTTCAGAAGAGAAAATGCGCTCTTTTGGAAGCCCTGCCTTCCTCACTCCATGAGGAAGAAGGGATCTTCTGAAAGAGGGGGATTTTCTGAAATTTGGCCCAGTGTAGACGGGCCAAATTTGGGAAAAGCCTCTTCCTGCACTTAGGACAGAAGAATGTCAAGCCCTGCTACAGGCTGGGCACCGACTGGCTACGTAACAATTCTGCAGAAAAGGACCTGGGGATTACAGTGGAAGAGGAGCTGTATGTGAGTCAACAGTGTGCCCTTGTAGCCAAGAAGGCTAACGACATATTGGGGTGCATTAGTAGAAGCATTGCCAGCAGATGCAGGGAAGTGATTATTCCCCTTTAATTCAGTACTGGTGAGGCCACATCTGAAGTATTGTGTCCAATTCAAGCCCCTGTTACAGAAAGAATGTGGATGCAATGGAGTCCAGTGGCGGGCAACAAAAATGATTAGGAAGTTGGAGTACATGACTTATGAGGAGAGACTGAGGGATTTGGGCTTATTTAGTCTATGAAAGAGAAGAGTGGGGAAGAGGGATTTGAAAGCTGCCTTCAGATGAAAGGGGATTCGAAAGAAGATGGTCTCAGTAGTGAGAGATGACAGGACGAGGAGCAATGGTCTCCAGTTGCAATGTGGTTGGATATTAGGAAAAACTATTTCACTAGGAGCAGGGTAAAGCACTAGAATGGGTTGCCTAGAGTGGTGATAGAATTTCCATCCCAAGTGGTTTTTAAGTCCTGGCTTGATAAAGCGCCACCTGTGATGATTTAGTTGGGAGTAGTCCTGCTTTTAGCAGTGAGTTGGACTTGATGGCATCCTGAGGTTCTTTCAACCTTATGATTTTGATTCCTTGATATACATTCATTTATTGACTATAGTTACAACTATTTCCTCCATCCAGCATTTACTGAAATGAATGTGTAAAAGCATATAGGTATTTGAATTTTCATTCCAAATCAGAATCATAATTCTCTGTAAATCAGTAAAACCAGTAGCTCAAGATACATTAAAATGAGAGCTTTGTACATTTTAATGGAGCTATACAGCCCTCTTCCCCCAAAATCTAAGAATTCTTTACTTATAAACTGCAAAATTCACTGCATCAGTTTCTATGGCTTCCATTATACTCCTCAAGGATATACAAGAAGTGTTAACCCAAAACAAAAATGAGTTTGCAACTCAGAGAACAAATCATTTTATGGACATATCAAAAACCTGTGCCCTAAGAAAAAAACAACAAATTTATGCTAAGGAAAGAAAGCCAGTTCCTTTGCAATAAAGCCATCAGAAATTTTGGCTTATTGTACTTCATCAAGTGCCTCTTTAATCTTGTACATTTTATGCTGAAAAGTTTTTAATATTAGGGAGAAAACTACTTACAAAGGAAAATCATCATTGAGACTTACAAGCACATTTGGAATTCACACAAAGCCACACTCACAATTTGAAGAGCAGCATGTTACAAAACAGAGTGAACAGGACCGAGACAAAGCAGTGTGCCTTCTGAGATACACAGAAGGCTTTTGATTGTATAGGTCATGGGCTTGATTCTTGATTTCAATAGAAATCAAGGCCATAACTGAAAATCAGGCTGTATGTGCACAAGCAGCACACAACAAAGCAAAATACAGTAATCTCTCTGTGCATGGTAGGCAGTTTTCGATTCATGTAACTATCTTGTTTCATTAATGCTTAGTGATCACATACTTTAACACAATTCATGGCCAGTGCCTGCTTTCTTTAATCAGGCTGAGTATTATCTCACTCAAGAAGATTCCCTGCTGATTCTAAGGATGGGATTTGGAGCCCCGTGGATTCCAAGACTGGAATCTCATCAGCTGTACTCAACAGTCTACCAGTGTAATCTTGCCAAAATGTTGCGCATGTCTTTCCTCAGGTATGTCTCCATTCACTTCAGCAACTCCCTCTCCTCCCTGCCTTACGAAGTATACTCTAAAATATGTCACATGTATTGTAAAAGAATAAGAAAGAAATTCTGACCACAGGCTAATTCACCAATGGATCCCAAATGTCATTATTTAGGTTCAGAATGAGAAAAAGAAACCTGTCCATTCTCTCTACACTTGGGGTCTCAAACTCAATTTAGGGTCCTGACAATGCTCAGTTCCTCCTAGTGGACCAGTGGGCACCCCTGTCTTGCCCTGCTCTGGGAGGAGGGTCTCCATGCATTTCCCCACCACACACATCTTCCAGCCCCACCTGCCAGCCTGTGCACTCCCCCCATGCATCACCTGGCACCTCCTGATTTAACACAGCAGGGCTAGAGGGGCTTCTGGCTGCTAGCTCTGCACTACTGTTGGCACAACCCTGTGGCCCAGGGGAATTGTGTGCAGAGCCATCCTGTCCTTAGAATGGTTCAGCACAGCTGCCTTGGGCCCCACGCTTTTTGGGTCCTGCAGTGGCCATGCTAACCATCCTATAGATGGTTTCATCCTCCATATTCAGGTTAGCCCACAAGGCTCTGGGCAAACTAGAGCTGGCAACAGGGGTCGGGCCCCCCCTTGCAGCGATGGGAGCCGTGGGGAAGAGGAGCTACAAAACAGCCTCTTTGCTCTTCCACCATCTCCCACGCCAACCTGTGCTGGGATTGGGGCTGGGGCATTCCGCTTCCCACCACCACAGTGAAGCAGAGTGACCTGGGAGATGGCAGCGGTCTGGGAGATGGCAGCGGAGCAGAGCAGAGGCCACTGCAGTGTTCTGCTTCCCTGCAGCTCCTGCCATCACTGCTTCTACCCTGTACTGGGCCTTTGGTAATCTCCAAAGTCTCATTCCTCAAGGGAGGGGGCTTGAGGGAAGTGGTGTGATGGTGGGGCAGAGGGCAGAACAGGGGTGGGAAGAGGCAAGGCGGGGGCAGAGTAGGGAATTGATTTGGGGGAAGGGGATGGACACTCCCAGGGTCACAGGGCTGGATTATGGAACTGCTCATGCTGCAATGGCCTGTGGGCCATGAGTTTGAGACCCCCCCCCCCCACTCTATGCTTTCATTACTGAAACCACTTGAGCAATCAGGACAACTTATTATAGATATTGCAAAACATAAATCAAAACAAAACAGGCTGTGAGAGCTAGGTGGGAGGAATCCTGGGAACTATCTGGTATCGGAAGATCTATCTGCCCTGATCGCCCCCATACTCTGAATCTGAAATGCTGATGATAGAGAATATTCCACAAAATACTGGTGGAAAAAAAATGGTTGAGGACAAAGAGAAGGATTAAATAATGCTAAAATGTGTGGGTGACTGCTTAAAAATCAATGATTGCCTTCTGATGCATGCAATTTACCACATCACCGATATAAGTAACAGTGGGAAACTGAGCAATGAAGACATTAGGCAAAAAAGTGAGGGAGGGAGGATTACCTACTGTTGGGATCCAATACTCTTCCAAAGGAAATGGTGGAAGCCTCACAGAGCAGAGAAGTCTTCACTGGAAGGAGGATGAACAACAGAATCTCTCTGGTTCAAATCACTCCTCTAGTGCCACTTCTTTCTAAGGTTTCTCAACTGGGGTGAAACAGGCATAGAAGTGGTTCTGGCTCAAACAATGAGCCTGTTATAAAGGCAGATCTGTGTTACTGTCAATACATATGGACAATTTTCTCTGTAACACCCAAGGAAAACCATCCTTTGCACGAAATCTTGGCCCCATTGAAGCCAATGAGCGTATTGCTAATTACTTCAAGGGGGACAGGATTTCATCCCAAGCATTTGACTACTGTTTGTTTACTAACAAATACAAAACAAAAAAATCTGTGTTCCAGATGCTAAATGTCTGTGTGCTGGGTGTGCCCTGCTGGTTTACAGCACATTCAAACTAAGGCTATGTCTTTAGACTGCATCCCTCTCTTGAAAGAGAAATGCAAATGAAGCAGATCAAAAATTCAGATAAAGCGCAAATTTAGAAATCTCATGCTTCATTTGCATAATTGTGTTCGAGCGCTTTTTCGAAAAAGGGGTTTTCAAAAAAAAAACACCTGCAGTCGAGATGGGGTTCTTTTAAAAAAAATCCCCTTTTTCAAAATAACCCATACAGCTCGTTTTTTCAGGAGTACAGGTTCTTTCAAAAAAGGGGATTTTTTTTTAAAGAACCCTGTCTAGACTGCGGGGGGGAGGGAGGGAAAGGTGTTTCGAAAAACCCTTTTTCGAAAAAATGCTCAGATGCGATTGTGCAAATAAAGCACAAGGTTTGTAAATCTGCGCTTCATTTGAATTTTCGATCTGCTTCATTTGCATTCCTCTTTAGAGAGGAATGCAGTCTAGATGAGCCCTAAGCTTTATGTATCAAGAAGTAGACTAGCTTTAGCCATCCCTGAGCACAGGACCTACTGTTGTAAAAAGACCAAACTGTCAGGGTTGTGCTGCAACTTTGATGTGCCCCCACAGCAGAAAAACAGCCACCAATGGGAGGCAGTAGTGCAAATGCCACCTATTTATTTACTACTAACTAGTTGTCTAACAGCATGTGGTTAGCCACATCTGTTAGCTACATCAAACAGCTCCTAAATGTTTCAGTAAGGAATTTTATGGGTATGTGCAACTTTCCTTGGATGGTGTTAGATTCATAAACTAATGAATAAATTATAAGAAGATATAATTATGGTATTTTTATCTCTGACAGATATAATTTTTCTCCAGTATTATCTTGACGCAAAAAGGGAAGCTACTGTTTTCCTCAGACCAGAATGCGAAGATTTCAAGAGAAGAGAAGCAACTCCAAATATTTGTAAAAAGTGACACATTTGGTAAATACTGCCCCAGATAATTGTTCAGATTATCCATTGGGACCTCAGCAGAAATGTGTTTCACATAATGCTTCTACTGTATATTCACAGAGCAGATGATGCGTGTTGTCAGTTACAAAAGCTGCTATGCAGCCTATTATGTATTATGAAGCCAGTCATAAATATCTTGAAGAAATAAAAATAATGCTTAAATCAGACTCTACAGCCAAGGATAATAACAGGCAGAATACTATCCACATGTATCTGCAGATGTCACCCACAGTCAGAATCACTCTGCTTCATTTGCATTCCTCTTTAGAGATTTTCTGGAAATGCTTTTAACGGAAAAGTTTTCCGTTAAAAGCATTTTTGGAAAAGTGCGTCTAGATTGGCAGGATGCTTTTCTGCAAAAGCACTTTTTGCGGAAAAGCATCCGTGGCCAATCTAGGCGCACTTTTCTGCAAAAAAGCCCCGATCGCCATTTTCGCGACTGGGGCTTTTTTGCGGAAAACAAATCTCTGCTGTCTACACTGGCACTTTTGCGCAAAAGTGTTTCTGAAAAAGACTTTTGCCCGAACGGGAGCAGTATAGTATTTCCGCAAAAGCACTGACAATCTTACATGAGATCGTCAGTGCTTTTGTGGAAATTCAAGCCGCCAGTGTAGACAGCTGGCAAGTTTTTCTGGAAAAGCAACTGCTTTTCCAGAAAAAGTGGCCAGTCTAGACACAGCCATAAAGTACAGTCAGAAATTCTGTCAGGTCCAGCTTGTCTTCCATGTGCAAGAGATGTGTGAAAGGGCCACTCCCTCTCCTTTTTTGTCAGATACACACTCCTGTGCAACAGTCAGTCATAACTGTAGTCCATTTGTAGATCCAGGGTTCAGGGATTGTGCCCTTCATTCACCCCATAAGACACAAGATTCCCAACAATTCTCACAGAATGCTCAACAGATCTTTGAAGCCATACAGGTACAGCATAATGTAGACCCTTTTGTGCTCCAGAGAACTGAGGATGAATACTTTCAAATGATCCTTTTAGGAAGTGCAGCTCAGCACTACCTCAACAAAAAACTGAACCCTAGTAATCACTCATGTTGGAAAATTTAGGGTGGAATTTTGAAAGAACTCATAGGAGTTAGATGCACATTTCATAGTGAAGATCAATAGGAAACTATATCTACACTGCACATTTATTTCAACATAACTCATGTTATTTCTAAATAACAGAGTGCAGGTCTACACAGCAAGCCTGTTATTTCAAAATAATGGGCTTTTTACTCTGACTTCCATAACCCTCATTTCACAAGGAGTAAGGGAAGTTGAAGGGAGAGCGTTCTTCCTTTGACTTCCTGCTATATAGACAGTGCCAAAAGCCAAGTTAAGGTACTCTGACTTCAGCTATGCAATTAATGTAGCTGAAGTTATGTATCTTAACTTGACTTTAGCCTGCAGTGTAGACATACCTGGAGAGGGATGCTGTAATCCCCTTCAAAAGTTTCAGCCTGTATAATCCAAACCTATGTTTAAGTGCTTTGCCGAACTGGTTTTTTTGGCCCTAATAGAGGAAAGCACTTAAGCATGTGTTTACCTTTACATATACATCTAGTCCCACTGACTTCAATGGGCTTAGCTTGCAAGCTTAAAGTTAAGCACATGCTTAAACACTTTGCTGGATCATGGCCTTTTTAATAATGCAATGGCCCAAATTAATCAGTGGTATGACTTCTGTTAAATCAATGGATTTAATGAACAGGGGCCTTTGGTCCAATATATTCTGAAAGAAAAATAAGTGTCCATTGGTTTAAAGATGCCGAATATTCTAAATAGAAAAATTAAGCAAAATTTAAATGAATGGAATGCTATAAAATGATTTCTAAATGCAAATCAAATTAAAGACTCCATTCAGAAAGTACTTAACCAAATGCCTTGCTTTTAAACACATGTGTAGTTCTGTTTAAGTCAACAGAACTGTTCACATGCTTTACTTTAGGCATGTGCTTTAAGTACCTTAATGAATCAGGGGCCAGGTATATAAATCCTCTTTCATGTATTAAGTAAAATCCTTTAGAATTCTTAAATCATGTTGCTTTGCCTAAGAAATCAGAAGTGCTTCTCTACTCTGATGGTTATATGTTCACAGTAAATCCAGACATAAAAATCAATAGAAATATTTAAGCCTGTGATGCTGAAGAAATGTCCTCTGGAAAAAGGATCAAATGTTAAACAACTGATTCTCATATAACTATGGCACATTATTATTATAGGCAAAGAATTTTTGACATTCATATTTTTTTCTAGAAGACTAAGAAAACAGCAAAAAAATATGATTTATTTTATGACACCTAATTGTTCTAGTTTTTCTGGGCTTATCCACTCTTATGCAAATGAATATGAATATATTTATGCAAAGAATGTTGTATAAGCTACTTACTAATTGGTCATATATTTCAAATTTTATTCAAGTAGTTTGTTTCACAAAAAATTATGAAAGGAAACCAAATATAGTCAATAATAATAGGTATATGTTTTATTTATGCAAGATGTGACAACAATATGGTAAATATACCATAGGTTTATGTTATAATGACAATATGTCATTCATAGTACTGTATGTATATTTAATATTCCTCAGAAAGACCATAAGACTTATTTACATTTTCTATAGGTAGTGATGCATTAAGGATATTTTAGTATTGGGCTCTCTAATTCTATACTGTCAGAATGCTGTAAATTGAGCAAAAAAGATTAAGCAATGATCTAAGCTTACTCAAATCTATGTTCCAAATACCAATAATGATGATTTGCCCTTAACAAAGGCAGCTTCTAAAATGATGTCAGCCTTCAACTTTTACAGCACCGTGCATGCAGCATATCATACCGAAAAATATTTGAAGAGGAGCTGAATATTATACACAATACATGTGATGGCATGTGTTCCATTAATTTTAACAGCCAATCATTAAGTTTAACAAAAGTATATACATCAAGAGGAACAAATGGTTTTCTAGCTGTGAGAGTAATCCCTTTTAAATGAATCTGGCATTTAGCTGAAAAAATTACTGAGAGAAAGTTGCAATATCAAGGGTAAAAAGTTATTTTGTTTACTTTTGACATATAGTTAAAAGGCTAGAAATGGTCAATCATTTTTCTCTACTTCACTACAATGTCTGTATCTTAGTCATAGGACAAAGTATAATTGATTTGTTTTGTTTGTTTTCCCCATCCTGCACCATGGAAAGAACAAAATTTGCAGAAATTTAACTTTGATTACTAGCAGGAAACTGGTTACAACAACTAGGAAAATTTGTGAAAATTAGTGTTCACAAGATCTAAATGTATAGTGCACAGAGATGATCATCTTTCAGGATGTATGAACTGAAATGTATTTTAAAGGAAAAGCTAATACCTCCCTTTGAAATACTTGTATTAAAATAAAAAACACAACTTTAATAAAAGACAGACATAGGTACTGTATGAAGAATTACAGCTTAGAAAATTAATAAAAATAGTATCTAAAACAGTATTAGTAAGATATGAAGCTCATTCATTAATGATCTCTGTGATAATATATCACTGAAAATGTTGCATGAAGGACAGTCTTTGATAGGATTATGTATAGTATAATAGCAAGATATTGAAATTAAAATTCACTGAGAAGATACATCTTGTGAACTGAAGGGTAAGAAGATTATAATTGTAACATTAATAATAATAATAAATAACAAGTATAAAATGATTCACATAAATAGAATTTCCATCAGCAATCATTATTGTAATTATGGGAATGATAAAGTAATAATCTGCAATAAATAGCTAACCTTTATTGATTCGTTATTTAATTTCTTTTTTAAAAAAGCCTGTAGAATTGGTGTCAATAACAATAACGTGTACAAGGGGGGGAAGTTGCATAAGTAATATAAAGAGCATAAGTAATATAAAAACAGCATTGCATAATCTGTTTCTAAAGAACCAGTTGAAGATATTTATATTCTTCGATGAAAGAAAAGAGAAAAAACATTTTCCTAAAAGAATCTCCCCATTTATTTAATGAATGCAGTGGGATTTATCTTAACACATGGTTCTGGGGTGCTCCAGAGGCATACTGGGAAAATTCAGAAAGTTCAATGTCTGGCTTTTTAATCACAACCTTCTCCAAGGTTGGAATTGTTCTTCATCAATGGCATCTAGGAAGAAAAGACAGACCATCAGCAGTCTGACCTACAGCAGCCCTAGGGGCAGTTCCACCGCCACCAGCAAAGTTAGCACTAAAGACAACCAAAAGGCCATGCAAGCGGCCAGATAAGAAAAATAGCAAGCAACTAACTACCACTGTTAGGAAATGTATTCCAGAATTTGGTATATGGGTCCTTCACCTGCCAAACAAGCCTTCTGCTTGGTAGTTGGAGTTAATTCTAAACCTAAAGCAGATAAAAGAAAAAGGGTCAGAAGGATCTTAAAGAGTATTTAACATGAGGGGCTGACAGGATACACTGGCATAGTAATGTTGAAATTAAGGTCCTGTTTTAATTCATTTTGGATTTGAAACAGAACTTGGAAAAGCTTATGCTGAGTCTGAAAAATATATTATTATGAAGAAAAATATTAAGTTTTAATTCATTAGGTCTTGAATTTTATTTATTCTCCACCATAATGATACCTTTTTTCTTAATTAATACATGGCCTTTGAGCCTGCAAACATTGAAATGTCTTTTTCACTTATGTTATTTCAAATTAAGAAGGAGCTAATTCCTAAAAGAATATTTTCTTCCATGGTATGCAGCATTTTCACAGTTGTGCTAAGTGTTGTAATACAACGCATTGTATTAAAGACCCAATTCTAAAAACACATTAGCAGGTGTATACTTGTGTAAATAGTTCATTTGAACTCAATGGCCTATTTATTTGAGCAATATTACTTATCTGCATATGTATATGGATCCTTACTGTGAAAATGTTCAAGAATGTATGGACAGTGTAATACAGAATGTGTTTCTATATTTGCAAACATTTTTTCTTATCAGTTTTAGAAAAGAAGTCAAAACCATCAAAAACAATTAAGAACAGAAATGCCACAACTTTCATGGGAAAACAACAATATGTATCTCCCTCATAAAGTTTAAATGCATATTCTTCTGGTAAGGACATCAAAAAATACAGGTATTAAGACAAGAACAAATTACCATTACTGCACTCCAGATATTTGAATCCCAAGTAGATTCTGCTGCAGAATGTGGGAACAAAAATGAAGGTCTATTTAAAGTTGAGATAGAAATTTGCTTTATTGCAAATTTGCAATACCGTTACTTCTTTGTAAGCTGTACAGTAAATATATTAAAAAGAATAGCTATTTAGATTAGACTGGTAATAGTTTGAAATATTTTATATGCTCAGAAGCTCAACAACAGGACACTGCACCTTTTGGTCAGAAGTCAATATTAAGGTTTGCATGCAGTAAAAAGCAAAATGTTTTATCAGCATGTGTACAAACGGGGAAATAAAAATAATATCTAACACAGTATTAGTAAAATATAAAGCAAATTCATTAATGGTCTCTGTGATTGTGTGTGATATGTAATACTTAATGTTGTTTTGTTTTTGTTTTTAGAAAGAACATCTCACAACACGCCCACACACAAGAAAGACCAGATTGCAGATGTGGGATATGTCTAGATATGTCTAATGGCATAGAAAAAATCCATCTGAGGAGAGATTTAAAAGATTTGCACTGTGCAGTTTAAAGAAAAAATTAGTAATAGAATGCATAATACACATAGTTAAAAGAATTTATGATATAGAGAATATATATCTGGAAGTCCCATTTACCCTTTCTCATGACATTAGAACAAAGAGATACCCAATGAAATTAACAGGCAAGACATCTAAAAGTAAGAAAAATAAATACTTATTTTTCATAACCTAACCTGTGGAACTCATTACCAGAAGATATTGTTAAAAGGGTTCTAAATAGCATTAAATGTTTATAAGACTAACCCTCATAATTGCATGAGACAGGACAAAGCATTGCAAGGAATATAAAAACTCATTCAGTAAGACATAAACCAGTCAATTGCATAGGGTTAGGAAAAAACTTCTGTCATAGGAAAGTTGTACCATAATTGATCTTTAAGTGGTTTATTTGTACCTTCCTCCTCTGAAACATGTGGTATTGGCCATTCTTGGAAATAGGATGGCAGACTAGATGGACTGTGGGAATTTCTATATTCCTTTCTATATTTAAAAGAAAGGGCAAGTAAAATGATTAGGGGTTTGGAATGGGTCCCATATGAGGAGAGATTAAAGAGACTGGGACTTTTCATCTTGGAAAAGAGGAGACTAAGGGGGATATGATAGAGGTATATAAAATCATGAGTGGTGTGGAGAAAGTGAATAAGGAAAAGTTATTTACTTGTTCCCATAATATAAGAACTAGGGGCCACTACATGAAATTAATGGGCAGCAGGTTTAAAACAAATAAAAGGAAATTCTTATTCACACAGAACAGTTAATCTGTGCAACTCCTTGCCTGAGAAGGCTGTGAAGGCTAGGACTATAATAGGGTTTAAAAGAGAACTAGATAAATTCATGGAGGTTAAGTCCATAAATGGCTATTAGACAGTATGGGTAAGGAATGAGGTCCCTAGTCTCTGTTTGTCAGAGGGTGGAGATGGATGGCAGGAGAGAGATAGCTTATGTTCTTATGTTCTTTGATATTAATATTTGCTTTGATTTTCCACAAGCACAAACCAAAATGGACTAGTTTGACTTCATGCCCTTATAGCCAGATTCCTCTTTTAATTGCCCATGTTTCCTGAGTAAGGAGTTTTGGAATAACACCTTTGTTCGACAGGTGTGTCTCAAATTTGTGGGATAGCTATGATAATAGTCTATTATTCATGACTATAAGGATAATTACTACAGACAGATACAAATTGCAAGTGCCTACAAAAGAGCTGTCCCGAGGCAGACTTCTTGAATGCTATTTCCAATTGAGAAATGTTTATGTTTTTTGCCTCTTACTTGAGTTTGCATTTCTCTAATATTACCAATGTGGTCATTTTGACTCCTCCTGAAATGGATCCTGCCCATTCTCCTGTTCAGATAACGCCCTCATTGTAGTGGATTTGAGAAGTCAAAGGCTTGGGAGCCAGCCATACCTAAAAAAGAATAAAGCCCCAAAATTCTGTTTAGCCTATTGTTAATTAGATCATTTAATATATATTAAAAATAACTACAGAATTTAAACTTTCTCTATACTTTATTTCTATTGATGATTTCTTGTAGCAGTAAAATGATCTCACTGTTATTTGATAACTCTACACTTTAGTCTAGATGCATTGTATGAAATATAATGCAATACAGATGTCAAACCAAGAACTAAATAGCTTATATTTCTAAAGAACAGTGAAAAAATATTAACACTATAGAAACAATGGTTCCATAATTACTTTTTGCTGTGGAATCAGGTTAGGCATTTATCCTTATAGATCCCTAATACACTCAAAGTCAGCTCTGCCCCTGTGGTCCTTTTACCTTTGTTGATAAATGTATTGTACAGGATAGCTTGTATGACCACTACAGTATTTGAGGTCATGCTAGGCTGTTAGCACAAATGGTGTGAACAATAGTTTATATGCCACTTAACTCCTTGGGAGAAACAGTTAACCTTGCCAGAGAGGATAGATCAGTCATGTATAGTTATTAAAGTCTGAAAGGTTTTGTTATTCTCTGAAATAGTTTTATGAAAGTATAGTACTATTCTGGTATTAGCTTTCCCATGTAGGAAGGCAACAAAGAAAACAATCATTTTTCGTATCTTTATGAAATGGGTATTCAAGTAAAAAGAAAAAGTTTTCACAGACGTGTCTCACTCAATACACCTGCACTGCAGAAGCTGCAAACACATTTAATGTTACTTCCTCAGTAGACTGAAATAGTTTTATGAAAGTATAGTACTATTCTGGTATTAGCTTTCCCATGTAGGAAGGCAACAAAGAAAACAATCATTTTTCGTATCTTTATGAAATGGGTATTCAAGTAAAAAGAAAAAGTTTTCACAGACGTGTCTCACTCAATACACCTGCACTGCAGAAGCTGCAAACACATTTAATGTTACTTCCTCAGTAGACTTCC